GAGAGCAGGTGAAATGTTTGTTCAAGCAAATATTACTTTAAGCATAATGAGAAGAGATAATGAATCTTTTGCCACAAATCAAAGTAACGTAAATATTTCGATTCTTCGGAAAACATTCATTATTTCCTTCTATTAGGCTGTGACAGTTTGTTAGACTAGCTGCAGTTGTGCATGTGGAGATGTCATGTTTTGATTGACCTGTTTCCTATAGTTTATCTTGTGGGCAGATCTGTTTAAACAGGGCAGCTGCCTTGGGTCTCATGAACATTGACCTTTTCACGTGGACAGACTCAGGCGTAAAATATAAGTCATTCCAAGCTGGATAACACTCGGTCATGCAATTAAAATATTACGTAAATATCAAAATCTTAGCTCAATAAAATTACGAGTAAATTTAGTCTTGTAGGTAAAGTTATGTTCACATAGGTATAGTTTGAAGTTTTTACTATAAGACCTGGATAAGTATTTTGAGTTGTAAGTCTGTTTTGGCATCGATCGATTGAACAGTAGACCGACTCGACCTATACGACAATGCCTTAAACAAACGGAATTTGAGAGCTGGAACGAGCTAGCAACGCCTACACACTCTGCCCTAGCTCAACGTTGATTGGCTGGAGACGGATCACACCTCTTATTGGAGCAGGTGTGCAAGAATCCCCCTCGACCGTTAGTATAAAAGGCCGTGCGCAATCGAAAATCGCCAGTGGACGTATGCTGAATAAAGCTTAACTGATGAAAAGCTGCAGAAACTCAAACGAAACAAACGAACGACGAAGAAATTAACGAACATATCACGAACGGTGAAAACCTGCTCAAGGCTGAAGTGAACTTAGAAAACTACTCCACGAAGACGAACATTAAGAACTGATAGTCATTAGAGATTGATTGTAAACGATTCCCTACCTCGCGTAGAAACAGAGACCTAATTACCTGAATTTTTTCTTACGTCTCAAGCAGGGTAAATCTGTTACAACTTCTTCATGTAGGACTAAATTTCTTCGAAAAGTTTCTTAAAGATGCGGTAAAGTCCGTTCTGCGCATATATTTTGCGCATCAAAACATTCCATCAGTGGGGGAGCAACCTTTGGAATGTTGTTGAATCTCTAGTCTGTATTCATTTACAAGCATAACGAACCAGAAAAGTGTTAAAAATTCAGTATAATATATATCTAATCATATTTTACAACTGTAGCAGTCAGTTCAAAATGTAAACAAAGCGTTTGTTTACATTACGGACTTTACATCACCTTTAAAATGTTGTGAGTTAATTAAGTACTAAATGATGTGTTTGTAAGTTAATTGAGTACCATGTGGTTTGCAAGATTTAATAATTTCGCTTTTTACCCTACTTGTGTCGTGTAAATATCGAATGCATATCCAAGATGGAGGAATGGTTGCCGCTTTATTTCGAAAAACAAGCAAGATACGGAATAATTGTAAAGGAAGTTTATATAGCATTTAAATATTCTTTCAAATAAGACAAACGTAATATATATTGTATTGCCATGTCCAGAAGGTAGGTTTTTGTAAGCTTTCAGATGGTGCAAGCAGGGGCGGTGGATCAGGGGGGGGGGGCTAGGGGGGCTAAAGCCCCCCAGTTGATAATTAAGGAAAAATTCAGCGTATTTTTTGAAACTTTAGGTATAAGGGGAAAAATTTGAAATATTTTGTTTAAAAATAGTGTGTGTGTTGAAATTTTTTTTTGTTTTATAAGTCCGAAAAATTTTTTTTCATCCCTTTTCTTGTATATATGTCCGGAAAAATTTTTCCGGTATATATGTCCGGGGAGGACATTATATCCGGACATATATTTTGTATATATGTCTGGGGAGGTCAACGAAAAAAAAAATTAGCCCCCCCAAAATGAAATCTGTTCCGCCGCCCCTGGATGCAAGTCATTTTTGTTGTAATTGGATACAAATTTTCGTATTTTCTTGCTGTAACACAATTTCAAAGAGAGAAAATCGGTGATCACCCATTTTCTCGGTATTGGGCAGGTTTTTGCTTAGGAACGTTTTTTGATAACTGAGCATTCTATGGTGCTATATGCATTGAACCACGGAAAATGTATTCCCCAGGGAGGGTATCACGAAATTGTCTTTCTAGGCACTTTTTCCGTTTTTCGCACAACGGCCCTCGGCCTTTCCCTTTCTGATTATCAACAATTCTACGCTGATATACGCTTTGAAAGTTGAATTTTTTTGGTTGAATCATGTACATCGCGTTGTGTTATGACAGATTGCATTCAAGTTACGTCTTTTCTAATTTCCTTTAAAAATTACAGTAGAAGAATTAAGGTTCCTAATATCCTATTTTTGTAACCCGATCGTTTTTACTTTCCACTCGCCATTTACCAGGGAAGTACATTGTATAGTTGAAGTATAAATGGCAACAGCCGTTCTTGTTGCTTACGCCATAATTAACGGTTATATTACGTACGCGTGAGGTTCGCGTTGTCAAAACGTCGCTTCCTCAAGCTCACATGTTTGGAAAACCCTTCATTATCTGGTACCTGAACCATGAAAGAATGCGCCAATGCCTCAAAAGCATAAGGTCTATCAGTAATGTTATGACGGATCAACAAATGGACAAACATTTTAGCCTCAAGGTCTTTATTAAGGATTCCAAGGTTAACTGGATTTCCGTTCAAAATATTCATCATACGATTATACAAAGCGGAACCAAAAGGATGTACACCTTTAGTTAAAATATAGAAAGCAATCATTCCTGCAACTTGCACGTCTGATTTCTTTTTAAAACGTCCTTTCTTTCTTTGATTTCTACTTTCAATAACTTCAACAGGCATCCAGCCTTCGGTTCCTTTCCCGTCAGTTTGGACTGTCGTCTCGTCTTCATTCAAAACACGACTTATTCCAAAGTCTGCCAATCTCATGTGACCTTCGATGTCAACTAGAACATTCAACGGTTTCAGATCTCTGTGTAAAATTCCCTGATCATGAAGAAATTCAAGGCCACGCAAAATTTCCTTGATCATTCTCGGACCATACTGTCTCAAATGTTCAATAGTTTTGGATTCGACATGTTCTTTCAATGTTTCTTCACAGAGATCGACAATTAGATACATGAATGTTGCGTCTTTGAGAAAATTTCGATAGCTTACTATAAATGGTGATTTCTTTGTTTCAATCAAACTCAGAATTTTTTTCTCATTTTCAGCTGCTTCTTCAGATGATTGTAACAATATTCTCTTTACAGCCACTTCACTGCCATCTTCCATAATACCAACATGAACAGATGTGCCCATAGAACCATTACCGAGCAAAAAAGGTTTGTCAGCGGAATAATATTTTAACGGTAATCCAACCTGCCGTGGAAAAGTAAAATGAACATTAATTTTTATATATTTTTTTTAAAATTCTTATGCTATTATTTCTCTTAGAACTTCCAAACATCTGTGTGTAGGACATTATCTCTTTGGAAGCACATACACGCGTAAAAATCATCATGTTGATGCAAGTTGTTCACAACAGGAGCGAACAATGTTGTGCTGCACCCCGTGAACAATATTGTTAACAATGTT